TTTATGATAAATTAGAAAATTAACAATGTGTTGAAATACTCTTTTATAAGCTGTTTATACAGCTTTACGAGGAAGGCATGGTTTGGGGTTTCATTTTATTTACTTAGTCCTTGAAAAAAAGTATGCAGTTGGGCAATGTAAGAAGGAAGAAAAGTAAATCTCCGTGAAATAGTCAACATGCCACACAGATTCACAGCAATGTTCTAAAGGATTTTGGACAAATCTATGAATGACTGTAATAGTAAATTATTATTATCACTAATAATAATAATTATTATTATTATTACCATTGTTGTTAGAAATTCTATTATGTCCATTTTTGGGCTGTGTAGTTACATGTTGAATGTTATGACCAATACCAGTATATTCAGGACACCAGTCATATTATTCCTATTTTTATTAATTCATCTGTCAATTGAAAAGCACAGAAAAATTCTGTTTCCAACTACCATATATGGTAATCAGGATATTCTAATGTTAGGTGATGCTGGGGATGTTTCTGTTAAACCTTCAATGGGAAGGTAAAATATTTTCCCTCATTAGTAGATAAAAAGGTGAAAGGATAGTAGAGAGTAGCTTCCTAGTCCCCATATAATGGATTCATTTATGTAGACCAACTTTTTCATTCATGGTTCAGGAAAGATTGTCCTCAACTCCTCAGATTGAAGGAAACATTTCCATCTGTACCCACCCCACCATGGATTATTGCCTACAGAAACTTAATAAGGATCAGATGTAGGTAGTCCAGATCAAAGAGGTGCAGGTAATGTTTCATTGAGCAGGAAGTTCATCCAAATATATAATAAATCATGCCATGGAATTAGGCTTTGTAGGATCATTTTTTAGAAAGTTGAGAAATATTTATGCCCTTAGATGGCACAAGGAGGAGAGTGAACGAACATCATCTTTTGGTAACTCTTTCCACAGTAGAACATCTTACTGACCAATTCACCCCATTTGGGAGTGTCCAAATTCTTCAACCAATTAAGTGAGTATATTCATGTGAAGGTATTCATATACATAAAGATTTTGAAAAGCCAGTAGGTAAAACTCATCAACAAAAGCCACATTAGCCCTTTTGTTTTCAAATGAAAAAACAAAACACACACACACACACACACAAAACATTATTTTCCATTTTTCTCCATTATGCCTTTTTTAGTTTTTTGTAATAATTGTGTGAGCGCTCTTAAAAAATTCTGTATTAGGAAAATCACACATAGAGACTGTCAGTACAAGTTTCTTCAAAGTCCTAAATAAAGATCAGGTAATCTTGGGATTTACTATAGGCATGAATACATACACACACACACACACACATCCGGGTTATATGGGGACATTTTAAATATTCCCTAAATCAAACAGAATGGTGGTATTATTCTGGGGGCTGAAGTTATAGCACATTTCTATTTCAAGGCATTGAAGAAGAGAGTACCCTTATGTTATGGCCAGATTGAAGTGTGAGAAGCAACAGATAGAAAGGTTACTATAAATGAGTTGCAATACATAAAACTAAAGAACATGCAAAAAAGGTAGCTGTTACAACTGAAAACTCCCTAATTTAGCTGCTTCAACTATTAAGAAAGATAAGAAAGTAAATTCATAGAATTTCCATAACAAGTTAGCTAGGTATAATTTATCCCCACATCTGATTTCTTTATCTACCTCTACTTCAATGCTCAATTTTAATCCTTTTAGAAAGTAAATAGATGAATTAACAAAGTTACTATAAAATTCTTCCAATAGTCACTGAATCCCTAAACACTGGCAAAGTATTTATAGTTCATTACTTTTGTTGACCCTATCAAATCATAACTTAAAACCAAAGAAACTTATTAAATATTATGTTAATAGGATGGCTTTTTCGAAAATCTTTGACAATTTAAATTAGGACAATAAACAGAAAAGGTTGGAGGGAGATAAAAAGTGGGTTGATTAGATTTTGTAAATTTTTTAAAGTCATAAGGCTTAAGTGTTAAGGAGTTTATGCATTTCATTATTTTTTAAAATGCACAAGCCTCTAATGTAGAGTTATTGATCACAGATGCTCAGAAAATAAACCTCTGCAGGGACTCTACTGCTTTGAGCTTCCGACCAGCCTCTTTCCTGTTATAAACTGCTAAGAAGTTCATGCAACATATTAGAATACTTATAAAGAATAGAATAGAAAAAAAATTAAGGAGACATCAGGAAATTTAAAAAAAAGTTCTAAGTATTCTTAGCTTTAGAAATAAGAGAAACAGCTATATAAACTTGGGATACTGAAATGAACATTTTAAAGGTATCAGATTATTGAAATATTCTGGCATGTTTAAAATTATGAGGGGAAATAAAGGACCCTCTGACTTGATAAAAATATCCAAAGTCAAAGAAAAAATTAAAAAAAGGAGATATTGCTCAGAGTATTAGGAGAAACCAAAGCTTTGTGCCATGCTGTAGAGAACAAAATGGCGAAATTCAGGAAAACCACTTCAGAACCAAAACTTGTCAAATATGTCAGTGGAATAATGCTTTAGTTCACTTTCTATTGGACTACACGGCACTCTTTCATGGCATAAAAATGGTTCACATCACCCAATCAAGCTTAACTTTGACCAGCCATTTTGTAGTTGCCTTTGCTCTGTTTCTGTGGTCAAGACAACTTTCATTTATTACACTTTAAAAAAATCTCTTATATCCTATCTAGTAGAAACTAAAGAAACTACGCATACTGATTCAAGCAGAAAGCACACAATTACCTTTATTCATCCAGAAAGCTTTCTACCCTTTACTGACACCCTCTGGTCCTTGTCTCTAAGACAGCTTTCAGTTCCAATCCAACACTTAAAATTTACCATGAGATGGATATATTTTAGAGTGTTAAATAAAACAACTATGTTAATCAAACTAATTTAATCATTATTTTCAAAAGCTAGCTACACAGGTAAAGAGTAGACATTGGTGATTTATTTTAAAAATAATTTTAAACTTAGTAAATAATTAAGTATTTGTTTAGGTATGTTATAAGTTCCCATAATGGTTTCTGATTGCCTAAGAGCTAGACCTTGGCTTATCCTGGTAAATGTGCATGTATTTCTGTCACCTCTTCTTAAATTCAAGAAGTAGAGATTTTCTATGACCTGGTTCATAGTAAGCCGTTAGTATCTATACTCAATGCATCAGGATTTAAATTGCCAACTTCAAAAGTCTGAATCTGACTTTCTGTTGGTTATTTTTGCTTGATCTCTATTGTTAAGAGCTCTAACATTGTGTCTTATCATATATGGTCACACCCAAGTTAGTAACCCTCTCTTCTCAAGTTGTAAGGTCATGATCCAAAGAGACTTTAAATTGGAGGGAAAAAAATGGTTCTGTTCAAGTTTTCTACTTTTTGTTCTATAAACATTCCCATTTATATCCATAATACACTTCCTGTTATTCAGAAGCTTTCCACATTGAGACACAACTCTTACACATATACATATTTTAATTAATTTTTCTCTAGTTTTCTTCACTTATTTTTGTAGTTTTTGCCCTTTCTTGACTGCCTTTTCTCTAATACTTTCTATTTCTTCCGAGGCACTAGATATATAACAATACCTTACCATATCCACTCAACTTAACTAGCCTTTGTTTCTACTCACTTTTCCCCCTCTGAATATATTTGTTTCCTACTTCATTATTTCACCTCAGAACACACATACATCTTTCAAGTTTAAGTAACATGTATAGGTGCACTCAGAATTTAGATGAAATTAGAACCCGAGCATGTTGATCCCAGAAAAAAAAATCATGAAAAGAAATATGTGTGTTATTTGAAATTTACTTAAAACTCTTTGATAACATTTTAGGATAATGCTGTAATCATTGCTAATTCCTTTGGTATTCAGGATAATAATATTAATCATGATTAACTCATTTGTTAATAACATGGATGTCAAAAGTACTTCTGTAGGAGTTCTGGCATAATTCACTGATAATTAATTACACCTCCAGTAATTCTTAAATGTCACCCAAATTTTAATTGTTTGATATTATTTCTGTAGCTGGGCCATATAACTTCTTCATATTGCTCCCTTGCATATTCCTTTAAAAAATTAACTAAGAGCATAGAATTATATAAAGTAATTTTAGAAATTAATACAAATACATGTAAAATATCTAGGTAAAAAATGAAGATCCTGGAAGTTTGCTTTTAAATAGGTATACTGTATTCGTATTTATTTTCTATGCTAAAGGAGAATAAAAATGAACATAGAATAAAGTTTTTTGGTCCTATTTAAGGGAAAAATCAATTGCTTGCTTGCTGAAAGGATAATTCTCAACTCATGTTGAAGTGTACTCATAAGTATTCAAGTCAGCACCCTTAACACTTTTAATTAAAGACACCCATACCTGATAGAGTATCTGAATATTTTTGACAACCTGCCTGAGCTTTCAGACATTGCCTCGCTATAATTCAAGCTATTGTTTTCCTAAGTGTCCTGAACTTGGTAGAACTCTACTTTCAGCACATCACTACTGCTTTTTAATAAGTTGCTACATTGCAAGGACCCTGGAGTCAATGATTCCCACCTAGATATTTCTCAGGCATCAGTCAGGCGCTCAGCACCTGCAAACTGCTTCCTACTTTCAGAATATTTATTTTATGTTGCAGAGGCTCCTCAGGATTTCCTGGCATGCCATTTTCCCCACTGTCTAGTTTAAGGAACTGTTTCTGGTTTCGGGAACATTAGGAGATACATAAATAGGTCACATTTTACTCTTGCTTCAACTTTTCTGACGTAAAAATCTCAGCAGAGAAAAGGGCACGCAAAAATAACACCCCAATCAGGAACAAAAGCAACCCCTGCCCTCAGCAGACCCCAACTGGCTTTCCCCCTGCAATTTGGATATGCTGACAATCTAGTAGGAAAGCATGGACTGCCCGGGCTCTGCTGCCCAACATTGGCCATTACCAGAAGATGCCCAAGCGCAATAGCAGGCACCAAACCCTGGTTGAAGAAATCTCAGTCACTCACCGATGATGTGACAGAATCTCAGTCCGCGCTCCACCTGCCTTGGTGCCTCTCAGTCCCGGGCTCCCATCCTCTTGACAGCCACCAACCGGCTCGAGTTCACATCTAACAGGCAGGCAGGCAGGCAGGCAGTCGGTCCCTCGCGGTTCTGCTCAGCCTGGGAGGGAGGAGAGAACTGCGGAGTTTGGAGTCATCCAGAGGGAATCCTCTCCCTTCCACTGTCGCTCACTGAACAAGGGACGCAGGTGAACGCATCTTCTCCGCCTAGAGCTTTAAATAGCACTTTTACTGCTGGTTTCTTGCAGTTTATGCTTCCTTCCACTCTGGATTTGATTATATTGGGAAATAGGTGAGGCACCTCCTCTGGTTGGTGTTTTTTTTTTGTACAAAATTTTCTCATCCAATGTCGTCGCTCTTCCCCAGCGCTCTCGCTCTCTGACTGGCTGTGTTCTCCTCGCAAGCTGTGTGTGGATGAGCGAGTGTGTGTCTTTCCCTTCCTCTGGCTCTCCCTCCCTTCTTTCTCTCTCTTGCCTCACAGAGCGCCTCACTGCCTCTTGGTGAAAAGGTTCATTTAGCATGTCCTCGGGCTTAAAGGACTGTTTGCTTCCAGAAGGATTTGAGATGTTTCCTTCCTAGTCTCAGTAGTCTACGGGTATTTTCCTGTCCTCCTAAGTAATAAAAGATTTCCCCCCGCTTTCCTCCTATCCCCTGTCTGTATTTAAAATTCATAGGTTTACTTAGCTAACACTCTAGCTGTGGCTGGCTACCTGCTAGACCTCCTGCAAAGTGTATTCCTCTGCTGTCCCTTCCGCTCTGCTGCTGCTGCTGCTCTCGCCCGTTGCCTGAGTTGCCTTGCTTATGCCTCTTAACCACCACTACAACAAACCACCAGCACCACCACCACAACAAATACCCTGGCATGGTAATCTTTGCTTTTACCAGAGGAATTTTTCACTTTGAATTTTTTTTTCTTCTTGTTTTTACTGTGATAAAGCTCTTTGTTTTCTATCCTTGGCTTTTTCAGACTCTTGTACACTTAGGTGTTTTTAATCCTTCCTCCTCCATTTTTTTTCTCCCAATGCTATTTATCCCAGAGTCAAGAAAATAGTAGGTTTAGTCTCAGATATCAGACTTTCTGAATTTTTATTACACAATGGTTGTAATTGGAAGAAGAACACAGGTAGTAAATCCACAGGATGGCAGGTTTAGTGCCATTGTTCTGACAATCCTTTCTATACTTTTCTTCTCTGTGTCTTTGATTCATTCTCCAATGCCATTGATTCATCTGATTTTAATTGAATAATGGTTAAATAAATTATATCTCTTTTCTGTTATATTTTTTCGTACAGTTATGTGGTACAGTATCTGTACTTGGAAAAGTAATTCCATTTAATGTTTCATATTTATATGATCATTCCCGACCACATGAGAAATAGAAGAACTCTATGAAGTAAAACTCCACATTTCCTTTTTTGTGGCTGTGCTTGAGTCTGCTTGCAGAAGAGCACCTATTCTTTTACCTCACTTATTCTCTGATTGGGGTATCTTACTGGTTCTAAATGGCATCGAGAGTCAAGTATCTGAATGCTCTAACTTAAAGCCTTTTATTACTATGTCAGACTTTTATTCTTATAGCTTTTCTCTTAATTCAAATCAGTCTTAAATTTCTTTTCTGCTTCTTACTCAGCCATATATCCTGTACAAACCTTGAGTTTTCACTTTTGCTGTCTGTCCTCAGAATCCAACATGATTTCTTGCTCTGTGGGATATACAACTCCCTGATTTATGGGATAGACAAGTTTCTGCTTTTTCATTTAAGGATTGTCTACTCTTCCATACTTTTAGCTTTCTTTCCTCAAAGTTTCAGCAATTAGATTATTTTTCAACTGAGTGATTGTTGTCAATATACTGCTTCTTTGAGTTTCATTTTCCTTTTTCTGATCAATGATTTATGGTAAACTAGTATATTATACCTATAAGAAAAGCTCTTGGACTTATGTGCTTATTCTTAGGTATGTTAGTTAATTCAGAAGTTTTAGAAGCTTTACATTCTTTTCATTTAATTTGCAATGATGTCCTTCCCACTCCTAATGATGGAATAAAGGATCTCCAAGGTTTTTCTTTTTTTTTTTTGTAAATGAGGATATGCTTGTTTTTTGAGTCTCCATGAATTAGTGAAAGTATTTGCATGTTCATACTCATCTCTATATATCTTAATAGCTTTCTGAATGAAATAAAGTAATTATATTGGGATTATTTAGCCTTAGCACCTCAACTGGTTCATTAAATTATAGAATTTTTTTAATTAATCTTAACTTTAAAAATGGCATTCATGTGTTTCTTTTTTTGTTTCCTTTCTTTAATTATGTGATTGTTTTTGGCTTATCAACATGGATTTAAATGAAGCAGTCAAAAGAATATAAAATGAGAAGTTATTCTAGAAACCACTATATAGTATGACCTCTCAGTGACCCAAACACTTTCAGAAGAGTATAGATGCAGAACAGTTTCATACTTACAATTGCTGAAGGAGCTTTCTCATTGTGCATACCCTATGCCAGTGAAATTATAGATCTAAACCATGTATAGATTACCAAGAGCAGTGTCCTTATGAGAAGTAATAAAGGTATGCTACATATTTCAGGGGAAAGTAAAAATAAGTTTAGAATTAAGTTCAATCCTAGAGTGAAGACTTTTTCCATTGTCTCAATTCAAATGCTATCATCATCTAGCGATTATTTGTAGTGCTGCTTGGTTATTGGCTAGCATTTAATCAGGATTCAATAGCGATGGAATTACTTTTGATGTTATGAATAACCTGTGAAGTTACAGTTTCTAATCTTTCTAGTTATTCTTAAAATCTTAGCTAATATAAACGTGCCTTCTGCCTTTTTGGTAAAAGCTTAACAGTTGCTCTAGAATATAATTTTATTGATAAAATTTACTTACAAATGCAGGTGTTTGAAGGATGAGTGACTACCATAGATCACATACATTTCCGTTTCCTGAGATATTCATTGGTTCCAAATTTAGAAAGAAAATTTATAGAATTGGTGAGAAGTAGGTGGATCTAAGAACACAAAGAAAACATTCATCATGCAACCATTAGTAAGAATGTTTACTAAGAAAATTTATGAATTTTAGCAAATGTACTATTCATGTTGTAACTATCAGCTACTATTCTTTCCATAATAACACTAACTTTTAACTTTGAATTTCCTTTCTCTAATATAGAAGACACCTAGACCCCAGTGGAGTCAACAACACATGACTTTTAAAGGTTGCTCTATTTAAAGGTCGCTTGTTTGTCTCTCTCAAAGTGAGTGACATTAATAACCTCAACTTGCTTATTCTCTACTTTGATAAGGACACTTTTACCATGAAAACTTCAGTATTGGATTGGATTAAAATATTTGGATTGGCTCACTTTCTCTATGCTGTGACTACAAACTGAACTTCAATTTAGTTGTCATGTTGTTTATCTGATCTCTTTGTCTAACCATCTTTGCGGAAATGTCTTAATCTCTTTATCTCTCTGTCCCCAGTGGGCAAGCAAGCAGATGCAGAACATCTGTAGTATCTGAGCTGCCTCTGAGCTTTTGCTTATTTGTCTTATAGAAGTCTTTCATTTAAGCTCTCCCTCTTGTCCTCTTTCATCTGACCCCAATGTCCTCCTCTTAGGCAAAAAGAAGACAGGTCATCGGCACTATATGTTCAATAGACTCCTTGCTACTATTTTTCCCAAGCAAACTGCCTGATCTTCCATATAGTGACAACAGACAAGGTTCCTTCAATTGAACTGGAATGAATTAGATATACTAAAAGCTTTGGTTCATTTTCTTGCCTGAAGGGATACATTAGGCATTTGACTTCATCTTCTTTGATATTTTTCCTCTTTGATTACCTGTGTCCAAGAATTGTGAACTTGTTAAGGTTTCAGTTTTCACACAATGAGCCATACGTATAATAAAGTAAGGTCTTACTGTGGTTTTTCATCTATGTTTTATTTTATTGCAATTATTACTTGACATATAAGAATTTTTGTAGCTAGTATAACCCACAATTCACATTTTTAAACTTAGTATTGAGTCAATAAAATGCCAGACCAATTCAGTAATTTAATAACAAGGGATTTAGCCAATGTGACCTATTAGCATCAAAGTATTTGTCGTTATATCCTGAAACCAAGTATCCCCTAAATATAGATGAAGTGCGAAGGCCTAAAAGTGCTTGAACTGGGCACATAACATTACTTTAATCTTATTTTAGGGTTACCCAGAACATCAATCCTAGTACTTAACAGCACAGCTGTTGTATGAAAACAAAAATAAACATGTCTAAAATTAAGACTGAAAATATACTGACTTCATTAGCTTAACAGCTGCATCAGTAACCAATAGCAAGGAACAGAACCTACTTCGTTAATGTCTTGAAAACATCTGTGAGCATCAAAACTATTGGGATTTAGAAGAGAAGAGGAGAAGAGGTCTGATTCTACTGTTGAGATCAGTCACCACAATATGCTTATGTGTGCTGTGGGACTAAATTGATCTCTTACAGAGGAACTTCAGGAGTTCCCTCCTGTAACATAATTTACCTATGAAAATGAATACATCAAATCATATTTGGCATAACAATGACTCAACATCTCTTGACAGTTCAAGTCTATTTTTTTCAGTACAGGGAAAGATGGTTCAGTACACATAAACATAGTCAAGAAGCAAATCAGACTTAATTTCCTCCAGGTTTTTTTTTTTGAAGATAAGCACCTATATTTTTCTTGTGATATATTTCTGGCCAAGGTACCTATTGATATTAATGTATTCTTTTGAGAGCCTTCAGCTCTTACTTCCCCATAATATACAACTACCAAAGTCATATCTATAAGGCTATTTCAATGCAGCAGTAAAAACCAGTATCCATTTTCACCCCGGGGGTGTTTCCTTGTTTAGCCTCCATTTACAGATACAGTTTTATAGGGCATCAGCCCCCAAAAATCTGTGAACCATTAATGTGTCAGACCTCAACAAATCATGTACATTTGTTTCCATTGAAAGACTTCACTCTTTCTTTTCTTTCCATTCCTCCCATTGATACCTTTATTCCAGATCTGTCTCACTTATGGCCAGATTTTCCATGAGCTTCTCAGCTGCCCTTCCTGGCTGTGGTTTTTCTCCTTTCTCACTCACTGCCAGATTAATCTTTAAACATCTTTTAATTGTTATTATTTACTCAAAAATCTTCAAGTATAAATGCTGGAAAATTTGAAGATCTACCTGCCTCTAGTAGAAATCCTTATGCCTGATTTTGCAGGTCTTCAATAACAACATCAATAACAACAACAAATCAATCAACAGACATTTATTAAATCTCTACTATGCTAGTGACTAGCTGAGATCAAGAGTAGTATCCATAACTTACTGATCTGCAT